CCCATGAAGCTGGAGTTCTGGTGGCCAAGAGCAAAAGAGGATGGTGTCTGAACTCGAGAAGAGAGAGCAAATGCGCCTTTCCTCTGCCTTTTTGTTCTACCCAGTCAGGGGATCAAGTGATGCCCTCCCACATTGGGTGAGGGCGGGTCTTCCTCACTCAGTCCACTGATTCAAATGCCAACCTCTTCTGGGAACATCCTCACAGACATACACCGAAATCATGCTCGATCGGCAATCTGGGTATCTCTTAACCCGGTCAAGTCATCACCTAAAATTGACCATCACAATATTGGAACAGGAATCACTCTGTTAACTGACTGTTGGCATGCTGCTCTCTTCTACAGGATAGGCATCTCGCTGCCTTTGAGGGTAAGTCCCATCTGTCCACCTCTGTGGGCCCAGTGTGGGGACAGTGGAAGTCACCACAAAGACTTGTCAAGGGAGGGTGAGTGTGGTAGGAAGAATAACGGCCCCCCAAACATGTCCACGTCCCAATCCCCAGAACCTACTCTGGCAAGGGCAGTAACAGCTGACATGTCCTCAGTCTTGCTCTGTGCCAGGCTCTGCTCTCAGTGACAGACGTGTCATCTCATTTCATCCGCACATAAGCCTATTACGGGGGAACGTTATTGCCCCTGAAGACTGACGATCAAAGGGAGGCACAGATTTCTGAAGGAACAAGCCCATGGTGTGACAGGGGGCAATTCCATCCTGGACTGTGGCGCCCCAGCCCTGAGCTCGCCCGCCCTGCCACAGTGCCTTGGCTACTAGAGCACCGAATGTGGGCTCAGGGGCTTAGGTGTGTCTTCCCAAAGCCCGCAAATACCCTGCCTGGTGGGCATTAGCCACCTTTTATGAAGGAGAAATTGAGGCTCAGAGGACAGGTGACTTGCCGAAGGGCACACAACCAGAACTTGGGGTTTCCAGGCCTTTTAATGAGGTCTGCCAGGCTCTAAAACCCACATATCCTGGGCTATCGTGGGTGTGAGTGAGGCTTGAGGGGAGATGGACTACACCGGAGGACAAAATAGGTAGGTCCCCACCCCATGGCTGGTGTCAGGAGACAGAGGATAAACAATTCCCCCAAGATAATCTCCGCAAGCAGTGCTGAGGGAGCCTCTGGAGCCTCTGGAGCCTCCGGGATAAAAGGCAAGACCCTGAGCCCAGGCAACATTCTGAAGGAAGTAGACCACCTGCACTTCATGGTCTAGACCAGGAGCCAGGTCGCTGGGAGACTGTGTGAAGTCCTGGACAGTCACCTTTCTCCCACTTCTCACTGCACTTTGTTTTAGTTGTGATTTCTACTTATTTTTTTAACCTGAAAGTGTATAAGACGAAAATGTATATTTTAATGAATACGAGGGGTCTTCAAAAAGTTCGTGGAGAGATTTGTACCATCTTTTAATTCCATTTTCCATGAACTTTTTGAAGTACCCTCATATTAATAAATTGTACATCCATGAACCACCACCCAGATTGAGAAGGAGACCAGAAGTCCCCTGGGCCCCTTCCTACCCACATCCCTCCCTCCTCCAGAGGTAAACCCTATCATGACTTTGTGCTAATCACCCTCTTGCTTTTCTTTAGAATGTTAATGCTTATGTGGTAATACATTAGTTTTGCCTGTTTCTGAACTTTGTGTAAACAGGTGTAATCTTTTGTCTGGCTCCTTTTGCTCAACATCATGTTTGTATAATTCACCCACACTGCTTTATACAATTGTAGATCTTTCATTCTCATTGTACAATATTCCATCCTGTGAATACACCACAATTTATTTATTAGGCAATGTATAGATTCTTGAGGATATTTGTATGTTTTTTTGCTGTTGTTTTTGGCAGCTGGCCGATACAGGGATTGAACCCTGGACCTGCATGTTATCAACTCCACGTTCTACCAACCAAGCAAATGGGCCAGCCCATATCACAATTTATTCACACACTTATTGGCAAGGCTAGTTTTTCTCTTTATTTGTACGTTTTAATTTATTCCAAGTTTGAGCCCTTCATCAGTTACATGTGCTTCCATTATCTTCCCCAATTTGTCGCCTGTGTTTTCATTCTTTATGGTGTCTTTTGATCATAAGACATTCTTAATTTCAGTATCATTGGATGTTTTATAATTCCCATTTATGGTTAGTGTTTTTGTGTCTTGCTGAAGAAAAACTTTTCCACTGTCAGTATACGAAGATATTCTGTCATACTATATTCTTAAAGCTCTTCGGTTTTGCCTTTCACACTTAGGCTTTGAATCCACCTAGAATTATTTTTGTGTTGTGAGGTAGATACCCAATTTTTTTTTTATCAGTATGAATAACCAATTGTTCCATTCACTGAAAGTTCAACCATTACCTCCACTGGTCTATGTTCTGTGTCTACATACAAGTGGGTCTGTTTGTCTTCCATTGGTCTATTTGTCTACTCTTGCAGCAATATCAAACCATCTTATTGCTATACCTTTATAATAAGTATGGGTGTCCTGTGGTAAATATGTTAACTATCCTTTGATCATCACATATTGTACACAAGTATTCATAGTCAACTCTGTACCACACGAATATGTATAATCAATTATGTTTCAATTAAAAAAAAAAAAGTATGGGTGTCCTGGCAAGTCTTGGCACTTTCACATAAATTTAAGAATTAATTTGTCATGATCTACACACATGCAAAAATCTATTGGAATCGTCACTGGATTTGCGTTGAATCTACAAAACAGTTTAGAGAAAACTGAGAGTTTTACAACCTTGACTCTTCCATTCAATGAACATGTAGATCTACTTAGTCTTTTAAAATGTCTTTCATGAAAACTTTCATGCTCTTTAAAAAGAAAAAAAAAAAATATCTTTCAATTAGGTTTTATGTTTTTTCCAAAAAAATCTTGCCCTCTTTTGTTAATTTCCAAGTAGTTCATAAATGGTATCTTTATTAAAATTTTACTTCCGGGGCCAGCCCAGTGGCGCACCGCTATAGTGCGCCGCTTGGGAAGCGCGGCAGCGCTCCCGCCGAGGGTTCGGATCCCACATACAGACCGGCCGCTCACTGGCTGAGCGAGGCGCGGGAGCAACGCCGAGGGTTGTGATCCCGTTGCCAGTCCCGGTCCGGTACGGGAGCGACACTGAGGGTTGCGATCCGTTGCCGGACACGGAAAAAGACAAAAAAAAAAAAAAATTTTACTTGCTGTTGGCATATAAAATCAACAGATTTTTAAATATGGATCTTGTATCCAGAAATCTTTCTAAATTCTTAATAATTCTAATAATTTACCCATGAATTATTTTGTTTTCTACATACACAATGGTATCATCTACAATGATAATTATGTTGTTCATTTCCATTATTTTTCTTTCTTTCCCTTCCCTTATTGTGCCGGTAGGACCTCCAGTACAATGCTGAGTAGAAATGGTGGTAACAGGCATCCTTGCCACGTTCCTAGTGTCAAAGCTCTTCACTGTAAACCTTTGTAGATACCCTTCACGCTAAGAAGGTCAGCCGACTAATTTGCTAAGACTTTTTAAAACATGAATAGATGTTAATTTTTATCTAAACCTTTCTCTATATCTGTTGAGATGATTATGGTTTTTCTCCTTTAAACTGCTAATGAGGCCAATTATGCTGAGTTCAAATCATATTGCATTTTTGGAATAAATCCAACTTAGTTATAATTTTTTAATATATTAGACTTAGACAACTATCATTTGGCTTAGAATATTTGCATCTACACGTATGTTCTTGAGACTAATATTAAAGAACATTCTTTTTCCACTCATCAGGTTTTAGTATCAAGGTTATATTAGCCCCATAAGATTAACTGGGTATGCTCCTTCTTTTTCTATACTCTGGAATTGCTTTGTAAAATTGGAATTATTTGTTCCTTTGGTGTTTCATAAGTGAAGCCATCTGGGCACAGAGTTTCTGTGTGGGAAGACTTTTAGCTACAGGTTCTGTACTTTAATGGTTATAGGATTATTCAAGTTTTCCATTCCTTTTTGAGACAGTTTTGGCAAGTTATATACTTGTAATAATTTGTCCATTTTATCTCACTTTTCAACCCAATTAGCATAAAGTTGCCTTTTTAGACAATGGTCAAATTATCACATCAGTGGAAGGCCAAAGACACATGTCCAGACGTTTATATTTGACAAAGTCACAATATCCGCCTTAAAAGGCAGTTGAGACATGGGTGTGCTCAATTTGTTTTCATTAACTGTTTTCCACTTCCAGACCTCTGCAGTGCTACTCCTTCTGACTGGACAACCCTCTCCTCCCCTTCATTACCTGGTGGATTCCTTCTCGTTTTTGAAAACTTGGTTTAGGCACCATATCCTCCAAGATTTCCATAGTCTCCGAACTGGGCTGAGTATCTGTTCTGTGCTCCTACAACCCATTGGACCTATCACTGTTAATGCGCTGACCACACTGCACTGAAATTCTTTCTGTGTCTGCCACCCCCACTAGACTGTGAGCTCCTTCCTCTGTGTCCTCAGAGCAGAGCAGAGGTGATCAGTCAACATTTGTGGAGCTGCTCTGAGCTTGAAACCACTGAATGACCAACTAAGCTCTCTAGCCATATCTCTATATTTCCCCACATACATTTGTTTGCTCCTTCATTTATTTCATTCAATGGGTATTTATTAAGCACCTACTATGTGCCAAGCACTGTTCTAGAAGAATGACCAGTGATGAAGTAGGAAAACTAACAGTGTGGTGCCTTGGAAACCAAGTAAAGAAAGGGTTTCAAGGTATAGATGATCAACTGTGTCAAATGCTGCCAATAGGCTAAATAAGATGAGGTCTAAGACATAACTGTGGCTATAACAATGTGAATGTCATCAGTGACCTCAGCAGTTTGGTGCAGTGGTTGGGCAATAAATCTGATTGGGGCTATTTCAGAAAGGCACTGGGGTATTGGAGGAAAGGAGAAGAACTGAAGAAAGCCGGTATAAATATTTCTTTCAATAAGCCTTGCTGTAAAAGGAAGTAAATAAATATGTGGTGGTGTATTTTGCTATGCAAAGAGTTTTTATTTGCATGCAGTAAACATATCTATTCTTTCTTTCAAAACCTCTGGGTTTCCTATTTTGAGTAGAAATGTGATGGCTGTGGACAGCAACTCTAGTATGAACTTTTCACAGTACATTAATTCCTTTGTCCTTTCTGATGTCTTCCCTATCTTAGGGGCTGAGGGGTCTCCCTGCTGATGTCAAAGTCTGTTTTCCAGTAACCTCAAAAACTTGTGGCTGATTCACAACTGATGTCCCCACATCCACGACTGACCACAGCCACCACTGCAGCCACATGACTGATACCAAATGCTCATGTGGCCACGACTCTTCCTTCCTGGTTCCCACCACCACCACCCATATGAACACATGCAGGCTCTCACAGGCAGAATGTGGAAAAGACCAAAGGACCACATGGATTAGGACCACAAGGTGAGGAGACACAGACCCTCCAGGATATGTTGAAGCAGCGGCAGCAGCAGGCATGACCACACCTCACCCACTCCCCACTGTGATCCTCCCACAGAACGTGACCACCCTGCACACTCAGGCCCAAACAGGAGAACACTGCACAGCAAGACACGTCATTTCTCATAGAGCTCTATTATGGCATATAATAATAGGTACTCTATATAAATTAAATTAAAAATAAAGCTCCAGCAAGTTGCACAGGTTGGCTGTTAATAAATATATCTCTGGGTAATTGTGCCCCAAGACCAGCTCACGACCACTCTCCCTCATCCAGAGAATTATATAAAAATAAATACAGGCTTGGGGGGCTGGAGGGGGAAGACATGCCCAGTTCCATTCTAAAAGTTCTCACTCATACCATCCACCCATCCTCTGTTCCTCTCCCCAGTGGTATCATTGCAGGGAGCCCTATGCTGACTGGAGAGGTCAGGGATGGGAAGGCATCTCTCATCAAGCATTCTCAGAAGCAAAGGACCAAGGTTCCTTCACTGTACAGGCCATATATCCCATCTCAACCCTCTGGGGTGGTGCTGGGGCTGCCCCTCCCAGAAACCAGAGAGTAGGAAGCTGATCCCAAAAGCAGCCCCTATGAGAACCAGGCCAGAGAGAGGCACAGTGCAAGCACCAGGAGGGACACACCACTATTCAGAGCCACAGGGACCACAACCAGTCCAGCCAGAACCCCCAGAGTCTGGGTCAAGGGCCCCCGGAGCTGGGGAGGCAATCCACACACATATTCTTCAGGGACTGCTAGGGTGAGAGACCTCTTTGGGGACTCAAGACTTGGGCCTGCACTTTCTTCATCCTGGGAGCTTACATGGGGCCTGGCCACACTAGGACAGACTTTAGTCCCCAAAGGATCGAGGAGGGTGGGGTTTTGCCCCTGCAGGACCAAAGTAGCTGGCTCCTTGCCAGATATAGGAACCAAGTTGTCTGCAAACTCAGTGGTGATCTCCATCTGGGCTTCTGTCCTGGCCTCCCCAGAAGACCTGGTCATCCTATTCATGTGCAAAGAGTCAGTGTCCTTGCCCATCCCTTTCTCTGGATCCCCAGTGACCTGACCTTTTGTACCCAGAACCATAGGGCTGTCATCTCCCGAGCCCTCGGCCCATGGAAACCACACATCTCCCATAGTGGCTACCACAGAAGGGGCCCCAGAGAGGATTTCCGGAGGTGATTCTTTGGGGCTGTCCCTGTCTGGGCTGGAAGGTGTGATGGAGAGCCCCTCCTCACCCTCCCCATCCTCATCAGGATCTTCAGTATCCTTGATGAGCTCCACGCCACGCCCCAGCCGGGCATAGTGCAGCGTGATCTCCTCAGCCAGGGCACTGTTCAGGGCTCGCTCGGGGCCAGGCCACTTCAAGATCAGGTCGCGGTCCGTGAGTATGCCCAGGGGGTGGCTGGGGGACATCCCCCCATCTGTAGTGCCCTCCCCACCACTCCCTGCCCCACCTGCAGCCACGGCAGCCCGCAGGCGGCTCAGGTGGGACAGGTAGAGCTGCTCCAGCTCCTGGTCAATGGTGTCCTCACCAAGCAGCTCCTCCAACCCACTTACGACCTCCAGCCCCCCAGGGGGCTCATCCATAATAACCCCCACCACGGGGTCCTTTCGACCCCCTCCATTCTCACGCGATACTTCCCATGTAGCCACCACCTGTTGCTGGCTGGGTTCCAGGAAAGGCCCGGCGGCCTCCTCACTTGCATCGGGCCCTGAGGCCTGGTCCCTGGGGGAGCCACCCAGGCCACAGAAAGGGGAGGAGGGGGGAATCCTGATGACCGGTGCCTGGGGGACCTCTGTAAAAGCCACAGGTGGACTGCTTCTGTGGACGTCACCTTCTTCTGGGAGGCTGCCAGTCACTGTAACTTCAGAAACCTGGAGCCATGGGGGAGGGAGGAAGGGAATGAAGTAGAGGAGGGGATGGGACAAGCGGAGACAGTGAGAACTGATGACAGGCCACACCCAGCCCCACAGGAGTTTCCAGATAAAGACGCCTTAAAGAGCACTCTGTAACTCTCTAAATTCCAAAGACTGTGTCATCTATATTAAAACAAAAATAGGTGGAATAAAAAGGAGGCTTCTTGCAGATGGCAAAGCTGAGGAATTCAGTGGGCATCAATATTTGGTAAATGACTATCAGTAAATAGTGTTGGTTTACCTTCAAAACATAGCCAGAATATCCATATGAAATCATGATGTATTTTCTCTTTTAAAAAATTTATTTCCTAGCTCTGTCTTTTGAAAAGACCTAGAAACAATGACAATCTAGTAGCAACAACTTCGCCAAGCCCCCCGGTCTTGGTCTCTAAATACCATTCTCCAGGAAAAAGAACCGGGGCTGTTTAAAGAAATAGCCGTTTCCAGGTTTGAGGCAGGGAAAGTACAGGATGAGCTTGGGACATATTGCCATTGGTAGGATGTGAGGAAGGGCTCACAGAATGATGGGGTGTGTCAAAAGGACAGAGAAGCCAATCTAAATAAGCTCCTACTGGCCAGCGATAGTTCAATTGAAGTATCAAAAAAATAAATAAGTGGAATGGATTGAAACTCATCAAATATGTTTAGAATCCATGAGTTCATAATGACACCAAAACCAAAATCCTTTAATTGGTCATCTTTGAAGTTCATTTTTTTTTCTGAAAACTGGTAAATAAAAGAGAAAAAAATTAAATATTTACACTGCTTTTCCTGTACAAACTATATACGTCAAGGTCGCCAAACAGTTGATGTTGGACAGTTTTTCTTTAGAGAGGAATTCCAGCTAATAAAAGTGGAAATAATGGAATTAAATAGTTAATTCTATTTAAATTAATTTAATAATAGATTAATTTAATAAAATTAATGATTTAATAAATTAATTGAATTTAATAACAAAAGATTAAATATTTGAATAGAATTAATAAATTAATAAAAAGAGTAAGAAACATGCTTCCACCTGGACACAATCAGCCAAATCCAGACTGTGGGAAACTCTACAAGACAAACAAGGTTTCTTCGACAAACAAATTGCAAGGAAAGAAAGTAGAGGAAATTTTAAAAATTTAAAGAGACACATCAACCAAGTGCAATGTGTCAACCTTGTTTGGATCCTAAAACATTTATAAGGAAATGTGAACACTGACCAAATATTGATGATACTAAGGAATTACTGTTAATTTTCTGAGCTGTGATGATGGCACTGTGGATTTTTTAAAGAGTTCTTAATTTTCTGAGATACAAACCAAATTATTTATGGCTGGGATCATGTCTGGATTTTTTCCAAAAAAAATCCATAGGAAATGGGAAGGGAGGAGGCGGGGATATAGATAAATAGGAATGGCCATGTGTTGATATTTGTTGAAGCCAGGAAAAGGTGTATGTAGGTTCATTATACTAAGTCTCTTCACTTTTATGTGAGGGGTCTTCAAAAAGTTCATAGAAAGATTCATATTACCTTTTAATTCTACTTTTCCACAAACTTATTGAAGTACCCTCATATGTTTGACATTTTTTGGAGTAAAAAGTTAAAATACACACACACCCTTCGGGAATCTCTCTACCTCCCCTGCCACCAGTCACAGCTTGCCTGGACTGCTGCAGTGGCCTCCTCATCATAGGTCCCCTGCTTCTGCCCTTGCCCGACAGTCTATTTTCCATGCAGCAGCCAGAGGAAGCCTGTTAAATCCTAAGTCAGATCCCATTCCCCCTCTGCTCACGACCTTCCTGTGGCTCCCCTCACTCAGAGTAAAAGCCAAAGCCCTCACTGTGGCCCTCCAGGCCATCCCCAATCCGGCCCCTGCCACCTCTCTGCCCTCACTCCCCACAGCTCTCCCCATCACCCCCTCTGCTCCTGCCACACTGGCCTTTTTGCTGTTCCTCACACAGGCTAGTCATGGCCCCACCTCAGAACTTTGCACTTACCTGGGATATTCTTCCCCTAGTTATCCACATGGCTGACTCTTTCACCTTCTTCTGATCTTTGTTCAAATCTCACTTGTCACTAAAGGCCTTCCCAGGCCGCCCAATCTAAAGTTACAAATGTCCCCCATCTCTCTCTCTCTCTGTGTCTCACACACACACACACACACACACACACACTCTCTCCCTATCCCTTTTTTTCCCTTAGCACTCATCCTCATCTAAAATACTATACATTTTAACAATTATTTTACGTTATCATGTCTTACCCCACTAACACGTAAGCCCCACGAAGACAGTGTTTTTGTTAATGACTGTATTTCCGGTGTATATTACAGCGCTTGGCACAGAGCAAGCACTCGGTAAATAGTTGCTAATACAGCAAATGAAATTTCTGAAAGCCCAGGTGAATCACCGACATTTGTGCCCTCCCTCTGACCTAGGGTGGGCCTAGAGCTAGTCAGCCCCACCCCCTAGCCCAGCTGTGGTCAAACTGAACCTCCTATTGGGTTGTCCACCCTGAGGCTGCAAGGGCCACTTACCTGAAGTGTCATCTGGGGCCATGGACGGAGAGGGGTGGGGGCCACCAGGGGACCCACTGACTCCTGGACATCAGGATGCTCTGCTGAAGAGAAGAGAAGGGCAGTTGGGGTGAGACAGGCATACAAAGAAAGCATGATTTTGTTAAGAAAATCTGCAATTCTAGCCAATTGGAACCTTTGCCACTTAAGCTTTCTGTGATGGTCTAAGACAGAGGGTGCCTCTTGGTTTTTATGGAAAGAAAAAGGGAAGGAAGAAAGAAATGGTAAACATGGGTGAAAACTCCTGAAGCTTGCCAATTGCTTACCCACAGCAGGGCTATTATCATCCATGTTCTTCATTCTCAGCTCCTCCTCGTTAGGCCTGCAGGGCAGAGGAGAGAGTACATGGATCTGACACCCCGAGAGATGAGTTCGGCCACACACTGGCACCTTCTGAGCCTCTGTAGCAGCCCAGCTTCACCTGACAACTGTGTTTTCTCTTCTACTGCCTCTTTTTACCCCTTGATCATAAAAGTCCTACACACTCACTATAGAAAATTTACAAAATACAAGGAAGTATAAAGAAGCAAGAAAAAAAAATTACACATCAACTAGGGGCAACCACTGTTACCATTTTGGAAAATTTCATTCCAGATGTCCTGTGAAATTATTTATATTCCACAGACATAATTTCACAGCTGGCTTTGTCCACTTAACAGTAAGAAACATCATTATATAGTTTTGCAAACATTTAAAATGGCTGCTTAATACTCATATCACATGGGCTTGCCATAATTTATGTAGTCATTCCCTTCCTACTGAGTAGCTAGATTGTTTTTTTCATTTTTCTGTTACAAAGCAAACTTCAGCAAACAGCATCAGGCATAGTTTTATCAACACTTTGAGTCACTTCTTTAGGGTAAATTCCTAGCTGTGGAGGAACCTAGCTTTTCTGAGAAAGAGCAGGTGGAAAAGACTCTGGGACACAGGAAGCAGCACAGGGGAGGAAGGAAAATGAATGGAGGACAGGAAGGGGGTCAAGAGGCCTGCATCCCTATGCCAGCCCTTTCCCCATCCCCGTATCAGCTCGGCAGGTCGTTTCCTCACCTGTAAAACAGGCAGGGGGAGCCAGGATGTGCACATCACGCACAGGGGAGTCAAGAGGAATGTGAATGAGAGCTAGACATCAGGGCCCGGCACAGAGGAAGGGCTGAATCAATGGTACATATTTACTGGTCTGGTTCCTCTTTTGCCAGGCAAGTCAGATCTCTGAGTGGCACAAGCCATGTGTATTTCAGCCAGATCCTGCCAGGGGTGGGGTCTCATCACGGAGAAATCCCTGTTCTTATTCTCACAAATGAGTATCAAATGTCTACAGATTCAGGCAAATAAGGGAAACATTAACTAAACGTGTTCAGAAGCCTGAGAGCAGCTGAGGCAATTGCTCAGAACTTCTTCCTCCTAAGGGGCAACATGACAATATTGACATTTCTGGAAATGGTTGAAACTTTTTGAAAATACCTAATCAATTACCTTAGGAGAAAAAGAGTATCCAGACACGGTAATCACTATGGCATCAGGCACTGTTCTAAGTACTTCACATATATCAATTTAATCTTCACAGTCACCCTATGAGATAGGTACTTTCAATCCTCTGAAATAGGCAGAACTATCATTCCCATCTCACAGATGATGAAACAGAGGCTGAGTAAATGGCTCAAGGTCATGCAGCCAGGATCAAAACCCGGGCCTTCTGGCTCTTAACCAACAAGCAGCTGCTTCTTGGACACGGAAAAGTGGGGTCTTACCCAACCTCATCTCCAATCCTTTCTAGAAGTAGAGAGAGGCATCAATAATAGAAAAGATCCCTCCCTCCTCCTTCATACAGGGTTTTCTTTGGACCCGCCTTTGCCGATATATTCATTCCCAGTTTCCCTGCCTCCATGGAACATGTGGCTAGGAGACCACAAGACACAGAGCAGCTGCAAGAACTGCTTTTTATTAACACGCACAGGGAGGAAACTTGAACCACGTATATGGATCTAGAATTAGAAAGCTCTGAAAGGACAGTCTGTCTTCTTCTGTGGTCTAGGGCTCATGTATCTCACCAGAGGTATTTGAATCAGAATATTCTGGAGCCTGGGGTAGGTCTAAAATCCAGGTCTTTGGATTTGTGGCTCAGCACAATTTCTGCCGGGCTGCACTGACTGACTTCTTTTACTGGCATAGTCCTTCATTACAGAAAACATCATCTTCCTAGGATCTTCTAAGCCAAGCTTCAAGAAGACCCACAAACAGGCAGAAAGCCAACTCTCCCTCCCATGTGCAGGACTAGGCAAGTCTTCCCCTGCCATCTGGCTCAGTCCTGACACACATGACAACCAGACTTCTAAAAGCCACTACAGAGTCATAGATGTGAGAGAAAAGGGAAGAACTTGGGAAGCAGCCAGCCAGCAGGAAAAGGACTCCACCATTCAGTTGAAGCAGAAGAGAGAGATGAAAAACAAATACAAAATAAATCCTTCTGTTCCAGAGCATCTCTTCCATAGCTGAGGACAGTGAGGAGAGAAATCAAAAAATCAGGTCAACCAATTGAACCCATGCCAACATCCACGAAGTCAGCAGAAGCAAACAGGTCATTCTCCCTACCTCCAAAGTCAGAGAAACGAAAGCAGGAGGCACACGTATTTAACGCTCACCTTATGCAACATGGTCCCTTTTCATTGATACATCAAGTCATCTGAAAACCTTCACAGCTATCCTTCAAAACAACACCCTCCCTTTTTACAAAAGCAGAAACTAAGGCTTGAGGGACTTTGTCTCTACACCAACTGACTACACGCCACACTGATAACATCCAACGAGGGCTCCACTTTGAAGACAGTGTTTGAAATTTGCGCTCAAAAAAAAAAAACAAACAAAAAAAAACACCCAAATATCCTTGAACTGTCTTTCACAGTAAAAATTCAGGGGAAGCTATGACTTCAATCAAAATGAGGATAGTAAGAGAAATCGAGTACAGATGTATACTGACTCACTGATCAGTAACAGAGAAGAGATGTTCTTAGAAAAATGGGGAGGGAGGAAATTAAGAACAAAACTGTACTTACAGTATACCTGCTAATTTTCAAGAAGGAAACCTGCTCTTTTGGCACCAGCCCCACAAAGCCACGTGGCACCCCCTCAAGGGCAGTGGGCAGTAGTGGGCCAGGGCTCACAGACCTGGGGACGTCTTGGCACACATCATTTGGGTGCTTGTGAGCACTAATCAAGCCGGTGTCACCTAGAAGGGGTCACCTCGGGCCTGCATGCCAGTCTCCTGGGCATGAAAATTCCTCCTGCCATCAGGAAACTCAATAGCTGCTGACATCAAACAGTAAAGAGGAGACCAGGGGGTGAGATTTTGGAAAGACATGGTGTTGGCCCCTGTATAGGCCAGCCAAGACAGAACAGAAAGGTAAATTGCCAGAGTTAGAGAGTGAGTGAGCCAGCAAGGGCTGACAAGCCCCATGGAGAAAAGCAGACTCTCAGAGCACCACATCATTGCCATCACCACCGCCACCTGACTCCCCTGTGAGCACACCCCTAGTGCTCATGTTTTCAGAGAACTTTGCCAGCCCAAAGTGGGTCAGACGCCGAAACCCAAAGGGAAACTCAGCAGACCCCAGCTCCCATATAGACAACCTGAAGATAATGCTGACTCTCTAGGGGGCAGGTGGCTTCAGAAACCTGCCCTGCGATACTTGGAATCCGTTACCCTGAGCCATCTGCTTTCTGAAAAGAACAGAGTTTGAAGGTGACTGTGAAAGCCACCAACAAGTTATGTGGGGCACTGCCCTGCCTTCCCCAACAAGTGTGTCAGCCTCAACCCTGGGACCTGCAGACAAACCAACAGGGCGGAGAGCAGTCCATCATGCCATGAGCTTCTTTTACAGCAGTGACCTAATTCTTTGGCCAGGACCCACAGTAAGAAATCCATTTCACATCATCACCCACACACGTGTAAATATATATAGACATAACTGAATGGTTGCTCTTTGAATGAAATAATACTTACCTTTACTGCATGTTTTGATGCATTCAAATTAACCTTCACACTATGCTATTTTTTTTAATGTTTGTTGGAACCCATTAAATTGATTTCACATCTCAATAAAGAGTTGGGACATGCAAACTTGAATAATCCCAGGTCTGCCACCTACCAGCTGTATGGCCTAGGGCAAGTTACTTAAACTCTCTGTGCCTCAGTTTCCTCATCTGTAAAGAGGGGATACTAGTTGTTGATCACATCAAGGAAATATTTGAAAAGCACCTATAAAGCGCTTAACAGTAATCCCCTCCAAATACCCATTCAGGGAAACACAGGCTCTGAAAAGTAAGGCAACTTGCCCAACATTGCTCAGCTGGTAAGACGCATCCTGCAGCCTGGTACAGCAGTTAAGAAATGGGCACTAGTGCAGGACCACGCAGGCTCAGATCCCAGCCCAGGCCCACATTCTTAAACATAATGTCCTGCCAGTTTTCTGTGGAATAAAAGGGTATCGCTTTCACCTAAAATCCTCGCTCTTTAGACAACTAAGATGACCCCTGACCCATCCTGTTTCAGCTCTGGTTGTTCTGGTTTCCCCTAAGGCTGCCAACTCAGACACCAGTTGGATCCCCATCCATTCAGTTACAGGTGCACCTAAAAACATTGAGGCCTTACTGTGGATCAGCCCCGGTGACAGATCCTGGGGACATGATGGTCAGCAACCCCGAACAGGAAGCTTACAACTCAGTGTGGAGGAAGACATCAAAAAAATACTCAAACTCATTCTTTCAACAAACATTTATTGAGCACCTGCTAAGTGCCAGGTACCGTGGCAGGCCTGCGAGAATACAGTGGTGAACAAAAGCAGACCATGTCCCTACCCCTCACGGAGCTTACAGTCTAGCAGGGCAGAAAGTGTCATCCAATAATCCCCTAATGAAGGTCTAACTACAAACTGAGGCCAGTGTCTTCAGAAAAGGAAAGAATGCCCTAGAACAAGGGGCCCTGGCCCAGACTGCAAGGTCAGGGAGGGCTTAAGGATGCTTAAAAGGAAAACAAACAAGGGAGGAGGTAGGGGAGTGAGAGCCCGCTTAGGAACACTGTGGGGGAGGTGAGAAATATAGTCCTAATCAATGTGAGTTTCAGGCTCTGGGATATCAGTCAAGTGAAGACATGAAGGTTTTTTTGGGGTTTTTTTGTTTTTTTAAAGATGACCGGTAAGGGGATCTCAACCCTTGGCATGGTGCTGTCAGCACCATGCTTGGCCAATGAGCCAACCAGCCATCCCTATATAGGATCCAAACCTGTGGCCTTGGTGTTATCAGCACTGCACTCTCCTGAGTGAGCCACGGGCCGGCCCCAAGACATGAAGTTTGGATGCATAAGGCTGAAGGAAACAGCACAGAGAAAGAGAAAGGCCAAAGAGTTCAGAGGAAAAGCAGCAGTGTGGTCCCAAGGAAAGGGAAGAAAGTGTTTTCAGCAGGAGCGGTCAACCACCTCAAGAAGAAAACCAACAAACTGCCTATGGAATTTGGCAGAGGCAGGGGGCGTGGAGAAAGAAAGTGCAGGCAACTCTTTAGAGGTGGCAGACAGTGAAGGGGAGGAGAGGGGTTAGGTGCTGGCCGGGAGCAGTGGGGAGAGAAGGTGGGTTCAGTAAAGACGCTGGCATGGGTAAAAGTCAAGAGAGAGGACAAGGTAAGGAGGGCAGTGGAACATCTGCCAGGAGAGAAAGGGTAACTGATGACGTCAGGTTCTGGAGCAAGTGGCTGAAAATGGGATCCAGAGTGCAGGAGGGTGACCTGGCCTGAGGGAGGAGAAAGGACCCCTCCTCACCTGCAATACAAGGGAAGGAAATCGGTTTGCAGGCTTACAGGTCACAAATTGTAGGGAGTTCCATTCTTATGGCTTCTGTTTTATTCTTTGAAGCAAGTGGTAAAGTCTAAGGTAAAGAATAGTTGAAAAAGTCACATCGGAGAGGAGACAAGAGCAGATCAGAAAAATATAGGAGGACTGCCAGGCAGGGTAGAAATTGATCCAGAATTCATGGCGATGCTCATCTTCTCTGCTACGTGACATTCTCTAACAGGGCTTGCCTACTGGGCTGATCAGCACTATGAAAAAACTGGGGGCCTGAGGTTGGGGAAGACAGGTTTCCCTGAGGAAGTCCTCGTGGAACTGAAGGATCAACATGAGGAGACTGCAAGGGATACAGAACAAACATCTCTGGTGAAGGAAAACAGCATGGGCAATGGCCCTGAGGCAGGAAGAAGAAAGGCACTTCGAAGTAACACAAAGACCATGGTGACAGATCAGAAACAGAGACCAGTATGAGGTAAGACTAGGAGCCAGTGGAGGCCAGATAGAGGGACAGGGTGGTGGGTGCTTGAAGGCCATGGTGAGGCTTTCTTGATCTTTATTTTTAAGAGTAATAGAGCACCGAAGGGTGTTAAGACAAGGCAGACCAGGAGGGCTCCCCCTGCCTCCCACCAACCCTGGGACTTTGGACTCTGGGAGTCTTGGTTTGCTCATCCAGGAAAGAGGGGTTAAAAACAGTCTATTTCAGGGAATACTGTCAGGATTAAATGAGACTCTGTATGAAAATACTCAGCAAAGTGCCTAGCAAAGAGCAGGGGCTTTGCCAGTCCTCATCGAACAAGCCCTCTAGACCTGTCCTTCCCATCCAGTTCCAACACAAGCCCTCTGACATCTTAGGACCAGTCTGCATCTCTTTTTCTCTGCTTGAACCTATCACTGTGCCCAGCACATAGTAGGCCCTCAATAAACACTTGTTGATGGATGGTCTCCAAGCCTAACAGTTAGCAAAAGCCTGGTCCAGTAACCTAGGGAAAGCAGCCATTTGGGTTTCTGAACTATATCCCAATGGCTACTACAGACTTCTCCCTGTTATGGCTGTGCCCAGTGCACACTGAGCCTGCAGCCAACATTTCCTGAACAGGAAGCCCTCTACGATGGGGATCCCACAGCTAAAGGATATCCCCTGAGATCCTTCACCCTTTCCCAAGAGGGCTGGGTCGCAGAGGGTAGCTGTTCTTCAACAGCGCTCCAAGTCAGCAGCAGCACACAGGTTTTAGAACAATAATAAGTTGAAATGTACTCGCCAAGAAAGCTACCGACCTACAAAGCAAACCTTATCGCTGATCTTGCAATGAGCACCAACCTCCCCTTTGCAAGAGCTGAGATCAAAAGATAAAGAAGCTATCAAAAAGCCATCTGCCCACTTAAAATAATATCACAAGTCATGTTAGGAACCACAGACCTGGGGCCAGATACCAAAACAATTGTCTGAACGGGCTGCTTCAATTTCTCCTTAAAACCACTCACGCATTTTAAAAGAAAAACACCCTCTCCACCACCTTGGCCCTGCAAGGTTTTGATTTCTCTGTTGCCTTCCTCTCACACTCTTTAAAATGACCAAACTCCATTACCCAAACTGTCGCATCTTACAGACAAGGCTTCCACAACAGCCAACTCGGAAGACGACTTGGGAAAAGTCAAAGAAATGAAGGCGGTTCTGAGGCACAGGAACTCCTCAATATCTTGATCTGGGTGGTAGTTATACAAGTGCATATATATGTACAAGTCAATTGAGCTGCACACTTAAGATCAGCACACTATACATAGGTATACCTCAATAAAGCAAAAAGCAAAAAAAAAAAAATTTTTTTTTAGATTAAAAGTAAAAGGAAAGCATGACATGCTGGGAACACCAAGAATAAAATCTTGCATTTGTCCTTAATCCTGACAGGCCTTCAAGAGGATCAGTAGTTAAAAAAAAAAAAAATGTTCCCTAGCATTTCCTCCCTGGTCCTGTCACTCACTAGCTAGGTGACCTTGAGTAAGCTGGCTCACCTCTCTGAGCTACCTGTTTCCCCCTCTATTAAACATGGATAATCATAACACCTATACCACACAGCATGCACAGCAGGCCTCAGGGAAAGAATGGACCTGACACCCTTAGCAAAGAAACCAATAAATGCCGGCCACTATTATCTTTCACAACTACCACCATGTTCCAGTTACCTTGCCCATGTTTTCTGTGTCCAATACAATTACGCAAAGCAACTGTCATTCCCCTTTAGCGGATGAGGAAACTGAGGCAAGGCCACACAGCTGATGATGGGCAGAGCCGAGTTTAGGAGGGGAGTCCAAGGAACTGTACGCTTGACTCCCTAAACGTTAATACTAGCTAACACCTACATGGCACTACTTTGAGCCAGGCTCAGTTCTGAGTGCTTTTACTCGTATCCTGTGACGTATGTGCTATAATTCTCTGTGTTTTACAGATGAGGGTCCTGAGGCACAGTGCAGTTAAATGAGTTGGCCAAGGTCACAAAGCCAGTAAATGGCAGGGCTGGGATTTGAACCCAGGCAATCTGATGCCAGAACCCATGCTCTTAATGCTAAAAGGAAAGCCATGCTGTCTGCCCCACTTAGAGTAAGTCTCAGGTTACAGTGAGGCTTAAGGTCGGTAAATGGGTGCCTGCCTGCTTGCTCACTTACCCAGGCACATCTTCCCACCAGCCCAGAACAAGTCCTTTCTGAGCTACTCACAGCCTAAGGCCCTACCAGGACCAGCAGATCCCATAAACATCTTGCTTTAGCCATCGGCTTCTCATCAAACATATACAAGGTCCAAAAAGCATTTTTCCATTCCCATTCCTCCCAGGAGCAGGGAAATGAATGTATTTTAGGGAGAATCTACTGATCCCGGGATAGACTTATGTGACTATAGAAAGAATCAGGCCCAGCTGCTGCCCTTAAAAACTCGTAGCTTCTTAGAAGACACCTAGGAAAACCTAGTATCAGGGCCTCCTGGGATATAACTGGTTCCTTCTCCCAGCCCCTGAGCAGTCACAGGTTTTGTAGCAAAAAACAAGACACATGAGCTTCAAGTCCACTCCCCATCTGGTTCTGCCTCTTAACAGAGCCACTACTTCCCAGTGAGGTTCAGCCCCTCACCTCTGCAGGAGGCCTCAGACAAGATTAGAGCATAACAGTAAAGAGAGTGCACAGGCTTTAAGGTCAGACAGGGCTGAGTTGGAATAGCCAGGTGCCATCACTTCCTCAACCAGTTTCTCCACCTCTGGATCCCTGGTTTCCTGCTGTGAGATGGGGATCAGACTCCCTACCCCTACTATGTCACTGCAATTCTCTCCACTCCACCACATTGCCCTTCATTCACACGAAGCTCATTCCCACCTCAGGACCTTTGCACCTGCTGTTCCCTCTACCTAGAACACCCTTGTTCCACAGACATACATAACTGCTATCATTCAGGACTCAGGTTAAATGGCACCTCCTTAAAAAAGTCATGTTTCCTTTTCTACAAACTCTTCCCCTCCCCCTCTCCCATATCTGTGCATTAACTCTTCTTTATCATCATCCAGGACTCACCTCCTCAAAGGCTCTCCCTGAACATGTCTAAAGCAGCCATTCCCTCCCAATCTATCCCCTTACTCCTCTCAGCAGCTAAGCTTATCTGTTAATCTTTCCTGCTTGCTTGTTTTTTCAAACTGTCTCCCATAAGAACCTGTATGATCCTTGAGGGTAGGGAAGATGTCTGTCTTGTTCAGGGCTTTACAGTGGAACTCAATAAATGAATGAATGAAACCCCAGTAATTGAAACAGTGCCTAGCACATGTTTGGCCTCCATTACTCTTTGACAAACTGACTGAATGCACCCTCCTCCCGGTCCTGGAGAGCAGGCCTGAGGGGTTCCTGGGCGGGATGCTTGTCCTCCATCCTAGACACAGCCCTGCGTTGGAGGAGGTGGCGCTGGCAGACATTACCTGCGCCTCACTGGCTTCATGCAGCTCTTCAGCTGCCTGGCCTCAGCCTCCACGGGACCCTGGCACTCGGGCTGTGGCTCCAGCTGCTGCAGCTGCTGCTGCTGGGGCAGCCCTTCAGCATCAGTGGGTGTGGGAGCGGGTGCGATCCGGAGCAGGACTGTGTAGTTGCGGCCGTGGTTGTTGGCCCAAAAAGTGCCCTCGGGGGTCTCATAGCGCACCACGAAGTCGAGGCGTGCCCCGTCGCCCGCGCCCTCAGCAAAGGGCAGCTGGAAGGCAAAGCGGTCGGTGCGGCCGCCGTCGTCGGGCGAGGAGGCGGAGGCCTGGCTGGGGCCTAGGCCAAGACCCAGATCCAGGATGGGATCTCCTGCTCCTGTTCCTCCCGCTCCTGCCCCCGGAAGGCTGCGCGGGACGTAGCGCGCTGGGTGGTCGCAGAAGGAAGCCCAGCCGTCGTGTGAGGCCCGCACGTGCACCGCCTTCTCGAAGGAGCGGTTCAGCACGCGTACCAACCCGCGCAGCACCGGCGGGCGCCCCCCAGGCACCCACACCCCGGCACCCCCGGGGACCGCTCCGGGAGGCGGTAGCAGCGCCTCCAGCTCCACCATGACGCGCCCCAAGCGCTCCAAACGGCCCAGCGCGGGCGGCAGCGAAAATGAGGGCACCAGGTAAAAACCCCCGCCAGCGGTGACAGGGCACGGCGGCGAGGGCTTAGGGCAAGCCTCCTCTTCCTCCACCCCTTCATCCCCATC